GGGGAGGGGAAATAATGTGCTCAAAGTACATTGTATGAAAAAATTAAATAATGAAAATTATATATTTCATTTATAGATGTGTGTGATTGAGTGTATACATGTGCACTCCATATGTGAGATGGCATTGGATCCCCTGGAACTGGAGTTACAATAGATTATGAGTCTCTCTATACATGGGTGCTAGCAACTAAACCCAGCTTTAGCAAGTGCTCTTAATCTCAAAGCCATCTCTCTAGTTTCCTGCTGTGTCTTTTAAGATGAATACCTTTGGGACACTATGTGAGAGGAGGCAAGAAAGCAGAAGTCACACACTTCAATTCCTGTCTTCAGGCTTCTGTGCTTCTTTAGGGTAGTTTGTGGATGGAGAAAGACCCAAGCATGTATAATAATCTTGTTCACTGAGTAGAATGAATGGATTTTATTTTACACATTTTGCAATGTACAGTAATCTCTTCTTGAGACCTTTTGGAAACCTTGAATTTGTAAATTCAGAGGTTTCACCTCTGTAACAATATTTTTCCATGCCCCTGGTATTTATAACCTCAATTAATTACTTCTCCTGAACCTGGGACTTGCTTCTTTCCATTGGCAAAACTAGCCATGTGCTCAATCAGAAGACCTAGTAGCTTCTGCCTCTATATTCTTGGGGACAGAATATTAGCTGGCAGGCAAGTAATCCAGCTACCCTACAGGAGAAGTAGGTGAGGAGGGAGAATCCTGCAACTGTACAGAAAAAGGGACAGAAGCACAGTCAACTGGGCATCTTGTGGGAATCTAACTCCCAGGTGACATGCCATTTGACTAGCCATTTACAAGCCTATCCAGAATGGCTAGTTAAATTCATCCCTGACTGCAGAATTCAACACCAACAGATAAGCAGCTATTGCTTAAGCTTGGGGTAATTTCTCATGCTACAGTAAAAAGAACATCAAATAGTAGCAATCTCAAGGTCAAGCACCCACCTCACTACGTCTGCTCACTACCCTTCAACATCACAAGAGTCTTTTCTCATTCCATGGCCACTTCTCACAAATAAACAAACTCTGGGTTCTCTTACAACAGTTACTACATACACAATGATGACTAGATAAAAATTGTTGAAAGAAAAAAGGAAAGAAGGAAAGGAGGGAGGGGAGGGAGGGAGGGAGGGAGGAAGACAGGGCAGGAGGAAAGGAGGAAGGGAGGACAAGGAGGGAGGAAGACAGGGAAGGAGGGAAGAAGGGGAGGAGGAAAGAGAGGGAGGGAGGGATGGATGGAGGGAGGGAGGCAGGCAGGCAGGCAGGCAGGCAAGCCTCACTAGGCTGCCAGAGCTGGAGGCTAGGGGTGGAGCTTCTTCACTAGGTAGTTCACTACTTTGTGTTAATTTCATAGGCTTGGGGCTCAGAGCCTCAGTTCAACAATTTGCAAATGACCCCCTGCCACCCACTTTCAAGGTCACTTACTAGAACTAGGAATGTTAAACCCTGAGGATCATGGTTTATGACAATTACATACCCCAGAAAGGACTGGACAAGAAACGCACCAGATCAGTGAGGACACATAGTAAAAGAAGCCAGAGCGGTCCTGCTCAGAATCGAACTTCCCATCCGCCACTTATTTACCAAAACACCTCTGGGAAGCAACTTCCTTTTTTATGCCTCCATTTCCTCATCTGTAAATGGGAGTCATAACACTTCCTACTTCCTAAGATCATTGTGAGGATTGAATGAATATATGTATAGAGCCTAGATAAATTACTCTTTGCCTACCTGTAAATGATTGTACTGTAGATATTGGGAAGAAGTGCACATGGATTTTAAATCATATAAATAGTTCTTTTAGTGATTACACACGAGGAAAGGGTGCCAGCTTTCAGAAACTATATCCTATATAATTGCTCTCTTAAGAGGGCAGGGTCAGTATGGCATGGTGGAGGCAGTGCGAGCCAAGAAATGTGGATCTAGGTTCTCACTTCAGCCCTGCTTTAAATTAGCTACACGATGCAGGAAAAGTTATCTAGAATATGGAACCAACGACAGAGACTATCTAAAGAGGCTGAGCCAGGTAGTCCCTCTCAGAGCCTTTTGTTTCTCCACCTTTACAAATCTCTTTGAGGTGGAAAGAGGGAAGTATAATTGCCATCAATTTTAAGATGGAGATCCGAACTGAATTTGGTCAGACTCAAAACACCAAAGCAGAGGTGGAAGAGACAAGGGGATTCCTTTATTCAAGAGAATATATCAGTCAGGCACAGACTGCACACAGACTATACTTCCCATAGCCCTGGCAGTTAGATTGGTCATGTGATTGAGCTCGGGCCAGGGACTTGGATGAGTGCTCCTGCCACAATCTCATTTTCTTCTGTTGCAGAGAACCCAGCAGGGACTCCAAGCCTCCAGAGAATGGGAAAGCCACAAGAAGGGACAAGATCAGGCTGCTTATCACAGGAAAGCCCACAGCTGATTAGATTTTCTTTATATCAGAATGTTGTGTTATCTGTCTGAGGTTTAGGGTTTATATGTTGCCTTCCTTGAATGATATACTTTTATGGGCCCCTAGTTAATTGCTAATCCAGGTTCTGATTTCAAGAGGAAACTGACCTACGTGCTAGAGATCACTGACATATTATTTGTTACAGGTTGAGCCAAACAAATGACATGGACTTGGGAAATCTGAATTCCAACTCACAGTTTCCTAAGCTTCTACATCTAAGCCTCTCCTCTTGTAAGCAGGCCGAAAGAGGCTGTCCCCACCCTGGGTCGCTGAGTCGCATTTCATTGTCATTTGTCTTGCGTGTTTCTTTAGGGAGTTAAACATGAAAGCCGTGCTTAAGAGGAACCAGTTGTTATTTAGAGACCAGAAGGATGGATTTCTCAGGTGTCCTGTTGTCTGCCCTTATCCTTTAGATAGATCAAAACTGTTATCTGAATATTTCCCAAGGATTACGGTTGTGACCTACAGAAAATTAAGGTAAAGTTTCAAAATCAACATTCACTTTGAAAGAAAAGCGAGAAATTACCTGAGAGGTTCTGGCTCTAACCCGTAGCCAGGGCTGGACATTTACACCTTTGCTTTTTAATCTGTTTCTTTTCTGCTGTACTTAAATGGCCATTTGGATTTTTCAGCAATTACCAGTGAAGTCTTGCAAAATAATTCCCATTATTCAACCAAATCAGGAATACAGAGTTCATTTTATTTAAAGCTGGAATTTGCCACTCTTGCACCGAAGAAAAGTGAACGTGGGAGAAATGGAGGCTTTTGAAAATAAATAATCGAAGAGGCCCAGCAGGGTCCCAAGCTCTAAGACTCCTAGAAGAGTCTTAGACTTCCTATTAGCTGCCACCATTACTGAAAATGCCTCAGCCCCTTTATGAATCCATTCCACGTGGCTCCTGCCCCAGGAGCTGAAGGCAGGCTTCCTCAGAAAAGCTGAGAACGTCTGGCACACCAGGAATGAAAGGAGTGGTACCCTGGCTACACTATGAAGCTGGCATGATTTAAGTGCTACCTGGACCCGTTGATACCCCTGTATTCAAAGCCCAACTCCTTTAAGGTGGGGGGAGTGGCCTGCTGGCTCCTGAAACACAGAGTAGGAAGCCCCATGTATAACGCTGGGTGCAACTCAGAAGGAATATAAAGCCCAAATGTCCACGAATGGGGGCAGGGAAGGAATCCCTTTCCAGGTTCCCATCCTCCAATCCTGCAGCCCAGTTGCTCTGGGTCTCCCACAGGAAGGGATGAGGCTTGGAGGGCTGCTGCCCTTTTGCACAGACCAGCACTCCTGTCTCCCAGCCTTGACCCCAGCCTGGAGCCTGTGTGGCACCACTCTCAGGTTATCTGGCAGCTCAAGTTTGGCTCCCACCAGGCAACTGGGAAAGGAGACCCCAGCCCTGGAATTGTGGGGTCAAAGCAAGCCGCATCTCCAGCCGCAGGGCTATTTTTAGATGCTGTTATCTTTGCCTTGCTCACATGCAGCTGTGAAAAACAAACTGGTGGCCGAGGGGCACACAACTGCAAAATAGAAAACCCGTAAAACAAGAGCTTCCAAACTCAAGAGAATATCAGGCTATGACAGAACACTATTCCACAATGGCCAGGTCTGCCTAGCCTTCCCCTGAGGGAGGCCAGTAGGGCTTTGCTCCTTTATTGCAAACGCAATCCTGGCTTGGTCCAGCTTTGGCTCACCAGCCGGCAAGGCTGATCAACCAGGCAGCCATACTTATGGCCACGGGTAGTGACCTCCTGGGACAGGTATTCTAAGGGAGCAGAATCGATAGGGTTAACACTGCCACAAACTGAAAAGCTCCAGCTCTCTCAGTTCTTTCCTCCAGCCCATCCTACCAGTTCCTCTGCCTTCCAGCGTCACAGCTCCATGACAGTGAAAGCCCTGCACAGGCAAAATGTCACCCAACATTAAGTAGCAAAGCAGGAAAACAGGAGAGAACCCCAAGCGGGATCCCCTACTTCTCTCAGCGGTTAGAACACCCTCCCGCAAGGCCAAGCCTCAGGGCGCTCCTCCACTCCCAGTGCCCTCAAGTCCCCATGTCCCCTTCAGGCAGCCCAATGCCAGACACCGCAGCCTTTGCCGACCCCTCCACCCATCTGCTAAGGGTCTGGACAACAGCTTGGAAAAGTGGCGCCCCGCCCCAAAACCCGAGATGGGGGGGTAAGGAGGGTGGGGAGGCGGCGGCAAACTTCAAAGCTGCAGCTGCAATATGCTTTTTTTTAAAAAAAATAAAAATAAATGTCCCTCGAAAACCAACAGGGTTTCATTTGTCCCACCAAGCTATGTGTGGTCCACCTTGACCGCCCGCTCACCCTCACTCAGCTCTGCCAAGGGGATCAGGCTCTCTCCGACCTCAGCTGCGGGGATTTCCTCTCCGGCTAGCGCGCGGCTGAGCTGCCGTCCATGCCTCCTCCACCCCCAAGTTCACCCACAACCCAGAGGAGCGAAAAATTAGTTTAAAAATTGTCAATTGCCTAGACCCCTTCCCCCCAAGCTGGTCCCCTCTCACACACACCCGAGTGGCCTGGGCTGCGAGTCATGGAGCATCCCGGGGGGTTGCGGTGAGGTGCCGCGCCGAGGCTAGCCTCCCCCGGTGTCCGCTCGGGCTCGGGCTCGGCCCTGGGCAAGGGGCCCGCGCATCTTTCACCAGGTGCAGCAATCCTACCGCCCGTGCGCCCTGGGCGCGCCGCCGGGCCCCGTGCCGGTTCCCCGGGAATGCGACCGTCAGGTGAGGTAGGCATGCGTGCCGGCTCCGCAGCGAAGCAGCAGCTGGCTGGGGCGCTGGGCTGGGGATCTGCCTCTTCTCCCTCTCCCCGCAAAGGAGAGGCCTCTCGGGGGCGGGAGGGGGGCTTTCCAGCGCCTTGGTGCGTTACGACCGCATTCCCCCTTCCTTTTTTTTTCTTTTATCTTAGTTTCTCCTTCAGATGCAAGAAGAGAGATCACAGGAATCCATGCCCAGTTTCAGTCTAACTCGGTCCACAGGCAGAGAGAGAATTATGAATGGATGCTGCCTTCTGATGAGGAAGTCGACTGGGGAGGTCTCTGCGCACGGCGCGCTCCATCAAAGCAGGGGCATTGGCCCCTCCACTGCTTCAATGCTGCAGGCTGAGCCACCTAATTGACCACTGGGAAATCAGGTGCCGGGAGACCTGGGCGGGACGAAGCCCCGGGTCCACGCTGGGATCGAGCTCCTGGCCCGCATAGACAGCTTCGATTTACAGTCCAGTGAATGGGGAGGACTGCGGCAGCCAAACCTCCCGGGCAGCAGGCAAGGCTGCACCAATGCTCCGCAGACAGCCGCCCGGCTCCGCGAACATCTCCCTTCTCTGCTGGGCTAGAGAGAACCTGGCTAGAATCTGTCCCCTGCTGCCAGCCGCAGTGATCTGCAGGTCTCAGCCCCCAGCCTGAAACTCGGCGACGCGCGGGAGCCGGCTTGTGCGCTTCCACGAGCTGGGGGTTGCGGAGGATCCCGGATCCGGATTTCTTGTACCTGTGCGATAGTGCGACTGCTGGGGCTGCGCGTTACCCATACCCAGAGTGGCAGCAGACTCTGCACATCACCAACAGGCTGGACCCACCGCGGTTGCTCAGCACCGCACCCCCCGTGGCTCCCCACTCACATCCCTGTCCCTAGCCCCTGGCCAGAGCAGAGGAATTGGAGACGCTAACCATAGCAAGCCCACCTTCTAAAGCAAAAGGACTGAGCTATAGCTATCAGCTATAGCATGTGCTGGCATATAACAGGGGTTGAGGGGCAGGGGAAAAAATGTGACACTGCATCCCCTCCCTCCATTCATCTCTGGACTCTGAAACCTCACATCTAGACACAACTCACTCTTCCCTGGCTTAAACACACTGCAAGGACAATGCCTTTGCAGCCGTGTATTAATCTCCAGGGAAGGATGATTTACTAGACCAGCTCCGAGGTTGAATCAGGATTAAAAACCATGACACTGTGTGTCCATGCCTTAGGCGGGCAGGTTCTATATATAACAAGTCAGTGTAGAAGGCAGAGTCATTTAGGGCCACTTAAAACAACGTTTATGAGATACAATCTAATATATAGCAAGGAGGAAAGCAGTGAATGAAATTATCCAAAGATGCCTTGTGGAATACCCAATTTTGTTCATTTGTCTTGAGGCTTTTGAAACTCATTTAGGGGAAACTGGTTGACTATTTTCTGACTGGGCTGTCTATTTGTAAATGGGGAGGTTGATGCCCTGGGCAGATTTGCATGTATGAGCAACATTCTGTCCATGAGGCCTTTAACTCCTGCATAATTCACAGTTGTGGTGAGGCACACATTTTGCCAAGGTCACAAGAAATCACGGGGTATGCAGGAGCCCTGAGTAAAGAATATTTCCTAATTGGCATTACTATGAATTAATGGTTGTGGTCACATGAAGAATCACATTGAACCCAAGTTCGTCTGTGTTGGCAGCGCTCCTTCAACCCTGCTCATGCCAAAAGGCTTGGAGGGCCTCCAGCAGCCAGCAAGGGCAGGGAAGCTGGCAGGAGTTCCCATGGAAGATGGTGTGTCCATGGTAAGGAAGATAAGAGAAAGAGAAGGTGCAGCCACCTTCCTAGTTTAAACCCCAAAGTTTAAAGGGTGAGTAGGCAAAGGAAGAAGCGGCGGAGAGGAAGAGATGAGTTCGAGAAGCAGGAAGTCAGGATGGGGATAAGCCCCACATCAGAAGGTCGGGAATGACAGAGTTGCAGGATCACAGTGTGATCAAGAATGCAGACACCATATGTCACCGCGGACAGAGGAGGGCAGACCTGGATCTGGGCAGTTTTGGGAGAGGCTGGGGAAAAGCTACCCATAGGAGGATTGGGATGGGGAGAAGAAAGGATTCTTTTCTTTAGCCCTTCTACTAGAAGGACCAGCAACAGCAGCAGAAGGAAACAACGGGTGGGGGGTGGGGGGTGGGGGGAGGCTCAGAAATGCTAAACACAAGCTGCCACCCAGGCTTGCTGCCTCACACTGAGGGTGAGGCTCAGTGACTATCTTTGTGGTTGCAAGCTCTCAGACCAACTTCAATAGGAGCAAGGCTCCATCGTGTGTGAGCTCCAGCTTCCCAGGTATTAAGAAGAGATTTATGTAAGGGTGAACAAAATGACTGCCCTCCACAGCAATCCCGGACAAGACTGCAGGTAGCTGATGCCCAAGTCACTAATCACACAGTTCAAGCAAATGAGCTTCTTGCTCTAGGTTTTCAGGGCTGCTCCATTAGTGGAGGGGAACCTTGACAACGAAGAGAGCAGAACTGCACATGGTGATGAAATTAGACAATTCTTTGCTCCTTCATATTGAAATCTTCAATACTTAGGTAGTTCTTAATAGTGGTGATGGAATTACTATGATGAAATTATTTAAATTTGAACAGGGTTTTAGCAAGTCCTACAGAGTAAAGGAAACAAATATGAGCTTTGAACTCAGACAGACAGATGTCTTTTTTTTAATCTTTAACCCTTTAATAAAATAAGATTCTCAGAAAGAATCCTAGCTTCTATATCCATTAGCAAGTGTGGCTTTGATAACATTCTTTAACATCTCTAACACTTGTAAAATGAATGTAAGGATATCGAATTTAGAGGAATAAAACAACAGTCATAAAGCATGATTGGGTGCCTGACATATAACAGAAGGTCAGTGAAGGCAGGGAGGGTCTTCCTGTGTTTGAGGCCTTCATTCACAGTGCTCATACTGTATGTGTTTCTCCCCATGTTCCCATTATCTGTGCTGTGGTTAGGGTACCTGAAGTTTTCTATGGCTCAGTGGTTCAGGTGGAAACACTGATCAAGTATTGTGCTAGCTGCTAGAAGAGACAGAGCCGAGACCAATACCCTTTGGAGCTAGCATTCTAAGGACTTAGTTTATAACCAAGTCCATGTGGGTATCATGCTTATTTTTTTTGAAAGCCAAAAATACCAGGTCTCAGGAGAAAGAATTGCATATGTGTCCTCCCTTAGACTAGACTAGTAAAGATATACAACAAATTTTATCTGGAAAGGGTCAGACAGAAAGTATTTTGGGCATTGCAAGTCATGTGGTCTCTGCTTCAACCACTCTTGTCTGCTGTGGTAGCTCAAAAGCAGCCAAAAGGAATGCGTATATTCCAATAAATTGTTGTGTTGTTCACACAAACCAGGGTCTAGGTGGGATTTAGTCACGGACTCTAGTTTTTGAATCTCTGACTGATAGTGTGGTTCAAACACAATTCTTCTTTTTCACTGGTATTGTTAATCCGAGGTGAGATATAATCCTTTCGCCAGCACGAGGTAGGAAACAGAAGAACTGACCAATGGAAACTGGCAAAAGCGATGTGTGTCCAGGCACCGCCCATAATACTCCTACCCTTTCCCTATTATAGTTTTCTCTGCTGGCTGAACAGAGGCTCCACGGGGGCGGTGGAGCCCCAAGATGGGTACTCAAATGTCTAGCCAATGACCTAGACTTAGCTAAGTGAAAAATAAGCCACTGAAATGTTAGAGATTTTATTCCCGAATTTGCCTACCTTGAGTAATTCATTTTCCTATCTCTTTAATCAGACGACAGAAAACACAATTTAATGCTTTGCTGATTACTTAGGGTCTTTATTAAGAAGGCTTATTATTGGTCTCTATGGTAACACATTTCTAAGATGCTCGTTCTTTGATATTTAGTTCTCAGCTGTCATTCCTCTCACCCTCTTCTTAGCTCCTTCCCTATAGTTGAAATCCACAGTGGGATTAGTTCACCTCTCCCTCCACCATATATACCCTCTCCTTATGTTTACCTGGAGCTACTTTCTGGCTTCAAAATCTTTGACTACAAAATGTACCGATAGCCAGGTGACATCTGCCTACTAAGAAACTAATCGTCTGAGCAAGAACCTTCAGAATGAAATGCATGGGCTCACGGACAACTCTTTACAGCCTTGAAAAACTTCCCTCTCAGGAAGCTTTTGCTTATTTCCAGGCTTAGGCCTGTGTTCCAGAAAGCTAAAGTCATTGGAAGCTCAGTAGCTCCAAGAAGAACAAGCAATTCTGTACTGTCCACTCTATGCTTTTTCCAAGCTTTATTTCTTCTCCCAGCTATGTTTGGGGATTCTATAGCCCAGGCTCAATCAACTTCTATCCCTTAACATTCACGGAATATCCATCTTTAAAATTCACCATTTTTGCTTAATTGAGTATTTCATTAGTGCCAACAGATCATAGTTGGAACTTACTTTGTAGGAGCTGAGAAAATGGATTGTAAAATGCTACATAATTTTACCTAGTTCTAGAGGTGGTATATAATCCTCATACTTACAGAGAATTTACCAAGAAAATTCAGCCATGTGTTAGGCCTGGAATCTGAATTATATTGAAGTGTGAGAATATGGTCTTCTCCCAGCATGAAATGGAAATCTGAAGAGGAATCAGCGAGGCCTGACCAAGGAGAGAGAGAGAGTAGAGAAGACCAAGGGACAGTCTGATTTTCAGGGTTAGGTTATTGTTGAAAGAAAAGGTATGATCCAATTTAAAGATCCTCTGCTTCCCCCCCCCCAAAAAAAAAACACAAAGAAGGGTAGAGATCATCTACCAGTTTTTCTCTAAGTCTTTTTTTCTGACTATTATTCCATGAGACCT